TATGAAAAGTTCTCAATAGTATTTTTCTCATTTTTCATTATATTAGAAGCAACAAAAATCAGTTACATGTTTACTATTTGTAATTATAAAATTTTAATAAAAATAAAGTATGAATCTGAATTGATTATTAGGCTCATCCTACTTAGTAACTGATGCAGTGGATGCTCCTTGAAACAATAATGTTAAATGAAATAAATCAGGCATATAAAATTAATTATGACATGGTTTCTCTTATACAAGAAAGTCAAAGGATAAATAATTTAAAGAGCAAAGTAAAAGATAGATAATTGAAAATGGAGATAGATCTTTTGTAAAGGGGAAAGGGACCAAGGCATGAGAGGAGAGAGAACTGAGGGGACTGGAAGGGGAAGTAGAAAGAATTAAGATAAATTAGCACACATACCAACTTCAAGATGAATGTAGTCATTATGTACTGCAAAGAGGTACTAATAAAAATTTAAAATGTAAGGAAATAAAATATCAAAACCTATGAAAGTTATATCACTATCACAGTGTTTATTATTAAGCAAGAACCCTTCAATTATATTTTAAATAATTATTTTATTTGATACATGTGTTTATCTTCCAGGCTTTTGTGAATGATTTGGTAGCGCTGTTCCTCTTAAAATGCAACAGTCTTTGGGATAATGCTATACAGCCCTTCCCCAAACCTTCTCAAATGTCACTTCTCTTTTGTTGCATAAAGTTTTTATTTAACACTTCTAATGCTCTCTAATCAAATATGCCCTTCCTACTCTCTCCTGTCTGACGACTGCATAATATATATCAATTAATATATACCAACCTTTAATTGCTCTCACGCCTTTGCTAACCTATGAGATAATAAACCTGAAGCTGTAATGGAGACTGATTCATTGTAATCAGTAGCTAATCATCAGTTGGGGCTGTTCTCGTTTGAAACTGAGTGAAATGCATGTCTGTCTAGAAAACTGCCAAGTCTGTCTTAGAGCTCCTTCTGAAATATGAGAATGATAAAGTTATCAATGTCATAAGTTTCAGAATCATTTTAGACCTAAAAGACTTTTCATGGATATTCCCTCCTCTGATCCTCATGATAATCTTCTAAGATACATAAGGCAAATATCAACATCTCTCAGAAAAGTTAACTGATATACAATGCCCCATATCCATGTGGTCCAGAATCCAACTGCCTTGTTACACTCAAGAAACCAATGTTAGCTGCAAGCAGCTTAAATGAGACAGTGAAAGTTCCAAAGGAAATGGGCCCCTTAACGAGTCCGAACCAGGCTTTCTGTCTTCCTGGGTCCTCTGAGTCTGTTATGCATGCTCTTTTTTCAATTTGCTCTCCCTTGGAGATTTTCTCATCTTTTTGATGGACTTTGCCTGAATGTAGCAACTTGTGCCCTGTTTCTTTAGTTCCTCCCAGCTTGGCAGCCAACAGAGACTAATTGTAGTCTCTGTTCCAATTCACAGTTCTCAAAGTCAAGGTTCCCAGTACCCACCACTTCCCTCTTACTTCCACACTTGAATCAGAGACACCACCACTCCTATCCACTTGGGCACGGATTCAAAGTCTTTGAACAGGATGGCAGGTTGTGGAGACATACTCTTCTAGAACATGGTGCGGGAAGGTAGGCTATGGAAGCCAGGGAGATTTTAAGAAACTACAGAACATCAAATCATACAGTTTCATGTGTAGATTGCCCTTTTCTCTCCTTATGGACACTGGAAGTAAAATCTAGTCTTTAAAAAGAGAAGGAGTTTGTTAATTTTTAAAAACTGGTCATTGACCAATTTCAGGTAAATAATTTCTTTCTTTTTTTATTAAAATAGAAGCAAAATTAAATGTAAAAATATACTTTTATGATTAAAAAATAGTTTCATGAAATAGTTCTCTCATTAAATTACTCTTCAAAAAATTGGTTTAATATAGTGAAAATATTCCCCAGCAAAGCTCAATATGATTGTCTGAGTGAAGTGATGTTTTACTGATTGGTTATAATGCACTCTGGAGGAATAGGCATAATTTCAGTACAATTAATCTAACTAAAGGCATTTTATAACATAACATCAGATGAAGTTTACCCAAATATTAGAGCTCTTCTCTAATATATACATAATATGTATATATTTTTACATATATAAAATCACTCTTTCTTTATATTTTCCCTTTATGTTTTCAATAGAGTTTAGGTGTCATGATGTGAAAATAAATTTAAAAAGAAAAACAATTCAACAACTTTAAGTAATAACAACGAATAAGAGTTTTTCCACAAAAGTGGAGTAGCCATAGGAAGCTTAAGCCAGATAGACTGCCTCTGTAGAAAGGGACAGGAGATTGAAGAAAGTAGTGAGCCCCTTTCTTCAAACCCTAAGGATTTCTGGAGATAGATGGCCTTATCCCTAAATGTGTTCAGAAGTATGTGTCCTCTCCTTGGGAACTAATTGGACATGACAACCAGTTTGCTTAAATGATGGAAGGAAAACAAATGATTGCAACTTTTCAACAAATGCAAATTTCATTGCTCCTTATGTGTTAGGTTATAGAGGATGCTTTACAATAATTTAGCTTACTAGCAGTGTGCAAGGAATGTACTTGTATTTCCAGCTACAGGGGAAGCTGTGGTAAGACTGAGTACAGGAGTTTGAGATCAGCCTGGGCAACACAGCAAATCCTGTCTAAAAAAATCTATATTATTTGTTCATTAACCTGTAATCCTACTCACTGACACTAATGCATTGAAATTAACTTGCCATATACAAGGTTCTTAGAAATCAGACACTGATGTTAAGCTGTCAAATTTAATTATTCATTACAACAAAGCCTAAATTCTGTCTTCAAAACATTATATCTCCACTGTTTACACATCACACTTTAATGACAACTGTAACAACAAACCATCCAGAGCCATTATTTAACTTTCTAATAAAAAGTAAAAAGATCCACAAGAATAGTAGATTATAACCCATTTTTTAGTAACAGAATAGGTTGACAAAAATATAAGTAAAGAAATAGAAGATTTGAAGAATAGAGCTAACATTTACATAAATGACCTGTATGGAACATTGCACACAACAACTGTAATATATATATAATATATATATTTCAAGTACATGTAGAACATTTTTAAAAATTGATCATATACTAAGCAATGAAATGGGTTTCAGTACATATTCAAAGACTTCAGTCATATGAAGTATGGCATATTAAAGAATGATGTGCAGTCAAAGCTATTCACAGGAAAACATACGATATTGATCTCATTTTGCAAAATAAGTATTAGTATATGTTTTCAATGCAAATCAATTGTCTCATAGTGCAGAATTGGTACGTACACATATTCATTTTTCTCTTTCCTTGTCCTCCGTACTGTCTGTCCCCCTTCCCAGATCTCCTTCATCTCTACAAAGTCTATCTCCCTGTTTCTATCAGAGAAGAGGATAGGTAGGAAATAATTATTAGTAGTTATTTTTAAATGTTAGAACAGCAAATTAAACCTCAGTAGAAGATAATTGCTTGATCAGTCTTGCATTCTTACATCTGGTAATCTGAACAACTTCGTTCAAGATAACAACATGTAATATAACAACCATTGTTAATTTTCTATCATCTTATTTTGAACTTCTATATTGTTTTTATTGTTTTGTGTTGTTTTATTTTTATCTTTGTGGTTATTTTGTTTTCTCTTTAAAATAAAAAAAAAGTTAAAAATCTCAGTAGAGTTGAAGGAAGGAAATATAAAACATTTTTCACCTACGTTGGATACCTATGTTGACTTCAGAAGGCTGTCCATTCCATATTTGGATAGAAATTATGGTTTTCCATGTCAGACTTTACACTCAAGTAGTTTTCTTTCATGGATTCCTCTGCGACTCTCCTTCTTCCCAACCATACATCAAGATGTATGAGTATTGCCACATATTCCCTCACTCCTACTCAGGCCGTACAACCATATTTCTTTGTGCTAGCAGTCTCTAGGTGTTGATCGCTAGACACTGGAATCTTGATTACTCTCTTTAAGACATAGATAGCACACCTTTTTCTGACTCTTCTTACAGCTTAATTAGCAATTTCATGTAGTTTGTCATTTTACAAATATCATAAGTACATCCTTGTAAGATCTATCTAGATTTTCATTTGCAGAGTCAATTGATGTCAGCCTAATAAATTCATAAAAGACAAGAATATATGACATAATGATTCATGAGCTCAAAAGAGTTTTCACTGCATGAAACAACAAATCCATATTTCTTGAAATGAGCAGTGAATTTGGTGAAAGCACAGTTTCTTCTCATAACATTATTCAATGGGTATGGATACATGGGGACACAATGAAATGATTTTCAGCACATGGAAATGATGCTGTGATCACTTCATGAAGGGCACTGGTTGTGAAAGTCAATGATATAAAAAAAGGTGGAAAGCTACAGGAATTGATAAACAATGTATGAAGTCCTTGTCACCTACCCTCTGTCACGTGGTGCAGTTTGAACTGTGACCAGGGAGAAATTAGATAATAATGAGTAATAATCAAGAGGTTCAGAATGACAATGTTTTTCATAAAATATATCATGTCATACAAAATCAAATGCACCAAATGAAGTCTAAATAGTATAAAGCAATACAGGAACATTATCACTCTTCTGATGACCAATTTACATACATTAATCAGACCTAAATTTTCATTCAATATTTGGCAGTCATTTGTACTCTCATAGAGAGCTTGTGATCAGTTTAAATGTCTATATTTTCATCACTATTAAACTAGATAACTCACATAGTATATTATACAATCAATTTAATCAAATCAGAATGTAAGATGTTTTCGTTCATTACTCAAACATTCATCTCTATAATTAATCTGTATTCCCAAACCTAGAGATTAATTTGAATCTTGGGTCAATCTTCCTATATCAAGGCTACTTATTCTCATTTAATATTTTTTGCAAATTGATGAGCCACACTCTCTAGGCAATGTTTAATAGAGTGACACAGTAATAGTATTTTTTATTGTGTAATGGGAAACCATTTCTCCATGCCTATTTCAAACACGAAGAAATTCCATCTGACAAAAAAGATTTTGAAACCACCTGCTCCACGACCACAGCACACTGAGGCTGCAGATAGTGGCAAGGACAATACAGATGAGGGCAAGCATAGGAAGTCTGTCCTCAGACAGACCAAGTGCCGCACTGAGAGGGATTCCCATTATCTGGTGAAAGCAGCAGCTACCATTGTGCAGAGCGTACTGCAGATAGGAAATCCACTCTGCTACCAATGCAGTTCTGAGAGGCAAGAATCATGTGTGTAAAGTCTTAAAGTCAAGTAGTCATGGGTCTCAACGAGTTAGCATTGCAGGAGATCAGCATGGGATCTGACTTTTGAGACACACATTTGTGGCTCCCTAGCATATCAGCTGCTCAAGAAGCGTTCAACCTTTTCAGGAGGAACGGGGGACTCCACATCAGTTCAGGGTTCATTCTCTAGATCTTCTATTCTGTTGCATGAATGTAGAAAATTTTAGAGTTTCTTATTAAAAGCATGCTTTTCTAAAAAACCTATTTTTGCTAGTAGCATTCCCTAGATATGACAATCAAAATTCTGATATTCAGCTTGGGAAAAAGCAGGGAAGCAGAAGCTTTCACAGTAGGGGCTGGGGATCTAGTTCAGTGGCAAAAGCGCCTGCCTGGCAAGCGCAAGGTCGTGAGTTCGGTTCCCGGTACTGGAGAAAAACCAAAAAAAATAAAAAAATAAAATAAAATAATAAAAAAAGAAGCTTTCACAGAGTGATTTTTCCTAAGGTGTGTTTCTGCTTCAGCATTTTCCAGTTTCACTTCAGCTGGAGTCTTCATACTTTTTAAATAAGTAGACCTGTGCTGGCTTTTAGTAAGCACCTCTCTGCTCTAAGTGATCATGTCATCTTATTAAGTGATCACATCGATTTGTTCTAATATTTACAAATTTTTTATTTAACTTTATTTTTTATATTGATTGATTGCACTGAGCTACATGTCCAAGACTTTTCTTTTTATTTTGAGACATAGCATTTCTAAATCACCAAGTTGTTTAGTCTGGACTCAAATTTGGGATTCTTCTGTTTCAGGTTCCCAGAGATTACAGGCCCATGCCACCACACCTTACTATTTTTAGTGAATAAAATCTAGATGCTAGCTTTCCTCCTTCACTGAAATTCAAGAAATAGTTCCTTATTGTCAATACCCTGAAACCTCTTCTATTCTCCATACTGTCTCAAAATTTTGAGGAGGAATTTTATAGTCACTCTTGAATTTCTGTGGTACATTAGAATTTAGTTCTTCTAGACAGCAGAGTTAATTTATAGCTAATTTTATGCAGCTTTTATATGTAGTCACCTTAGTTTTAGTCTATTCCTGAATATTCTTTGTCTTTACATTTTCTTTCCCTCCCCTTCCTCCGTTCTTTCCTTTCCTTTCCTTTCCTTTCCTTTCCTTTCCTTTCCTTTCCTTTCCTTTCCTTTCCTTTCCTTTCCTTTCCTTTCTTTTCTCTTTCTTTTTCTCTTTCAAATTACCCAATGTTTACCACCATCCTTAATACGTTAAAGATTCTCAATAAATCCCTAATAGTTTGTCTTGTCATTCATATTACAAAAGCCGCTGTCTTGGAGATGTTGGAGAAATGTCAGATATCTTTGGCTTGTCATCTCACCATCTGTTCTTCACTTGAGATTCTTTTTTTGAAACTTTGCCTAGGCACATAGATGATTCACTTTCTTTCTCATAGTGTTGATGACATTTCCCCAAGTGTTAAACCTCATGCTTGTGGTTAATCAATTCTTGGATCATGTCATCATTCCAGCCTGATGAGTTTTTCTGTAGAATCCATGTGCCTTTGTGGACTACAGGCTGTGGTCTTCAGAGTATTTCAAAGGCTTCAGAAAAAGGCTTCATGTGAGGGATTAGTATTTGCCAGTTTTTCAACTGCAGCAAGAGGGCTTTTGCAATCAGAGCACTTGCTTTTTATCATTCACTACACTAACCAACTGTTATCAAGGCCTCTTTAATACTTAACTCTCTTGCAAGGATTTATGAGGCTTTGGAGAAAAGTAGACTAATTTTATGCAGAACCCAGAGAAGGCCAAAATTCCCAACAAGCTTTCATCAACAAGTCATTCATTCTCAAAATTCTGATGAATGGAAAACTCAAGAGAACATTTAATGCCATCTGAATGAAATAATTAGATGCAAGAGTTGGAAGGGAACTTAGAAATAATTTAGCACATCCCCTTCATTTCATTTGTAGGAAAGAGTGAGACCCAGAGGGACTAAGTGAGATGCCCAAAGTAGTTCTCTAAGTAAGCTGTCAAACGTGAACTAGAAGGTGACACTTTTGACAGCAGTCCTCGGCAGGCCTCCTCTACTGCAACGCTAACATTCATTGAGCCTTTGCTTAACAAGACAGTTTGTGAGAGCTTAAGAGATACAGGATAAAGTAGCATAGAACTAATGAGAGCGTTCAGGATGCAACTTTGACTTTCATAGTGAAATACCTTATGGGTTCAGGGAGGCATTTTTCCATATTTCTTGTAAGTGATGAAACCAGAAGTATGGTGGAGTTTGCTGGAGATGGTGATTGATGGGACTGATGATGACTGGGATAGAAAGAGTGGAAATTGGTGAAGCTAGGCAGGAAAAGTATGACACAGTTCTGAGTGGTTAGGATAGAGGTTAGTACTTTTTTTTTTTGTCAATACTTGATCTTAGCCAAAAGGCTGAGAAACGATATTTTTTTCATCAATAAGAAAATGTATTTTCCTTTCCCAAATGTGAGGACTTTATAGCCAGGGAATAAAAATTATTTTGTTGTCTCTATTGTGTAAATGCTTACAATTCTCAGAGGATGCTTAATTGTAGACAGAATCTCTTGGTCCCAGGTTGAATCAAGTAATGTTTTCTCAATTAGTGCTTCCCATAGTGTTGTGCTCCTACATGGCAGGTGTATGTCTGGGCAACAGTTCTTTAATTACATGTAGGCTAATTTTTGGATATTTAAAAAATTGTTTTTTCTTACTTAGTTCTGCATTTGAAAGCTCATGTCATGAAAAGTGATGGCCTGGATGTTGAATTATGCAGTATTGAATCATTCCAATTTGGCTTTTTTTGTACAGTTTTGTTAGATTGTACACCTTTTGAATCTATGTCACACATCACATCTATAATTCCTTTTTTTCTTCCAACAACTAAGAAATATGCCCTCCTGTTTTGTGTACCTTACACTGCAAAAGCACAGGGCCTCTGCTGGAAAAGCAGGCAGAACCTTTCAGAAGCTTAGTTCTTTCTTGAACATGCATAACAAGGCAGCAGTTCTCAAAGGCTATGCTTTGATAAAAAAAAGGATTACTTTTAATGAAAAGAACGCACATTTACCATCCATTACAAAAATGCAGGCACACAGAGTTTGGAGCAAAAAGAGGATAGAATAAACCAGCATTGTGTTGAATCATTGAAATGTTAGGAGTACAAAAGACACAAAGGATGCTATACTGAAGGAGGATATAAGGTCACAGTGAAGGGAAAAAGTGAACTACAGTGATAAGAGGAGTGCGATGTAATTTTGTGTGTACCTCAAGGTAGGCACCATAGAGGCCTAAAACTCAGAATCGCTAACAATCAGCTCTTGAAGAAGAACACTAATACTTCAGAGTGTCTCACACTGATGTCAGAAGATCAGAGGAATGTAAAGGAAGTAAATTTGTAACACCGAATATCTCTTGAATAATCATATACACTGTGTCATAAAAGGAAAAGGAATAGTTTCTTAACCTAGAAAATACATAGCTCGGGAATAGAATGAACAAATCCAGGAGAAAATATATTTTTAAAAAATTGTTGAAAAGAGAAAAAAGGAAAAATATTATCTCTTTATTCTAGGGGTTATATGTAGCTTTTCCTTGTAACATTTTGTAGAGCAAAATCACTTTTCTTCTTTTTGAAATTATTCAATTCACATTAAGCACTTTAATTATTGAATTATATATGTATTTGATAAGAACCATGTTACAACCATACCACTACACATTTAGGCTAACTCAAGCTAATGCATGTAGTAGATTCTGCCTTTTTTCCCTCAGAAATTTGAACAAGTTCCTCTGCAGATAGTTGAGGGTTGATATAGTCCAGAGCCATACGTGTAGGCTGAGGTTCAGTTGTAATCAATTCCTAGCTCCTCGTGAAGCTTGCAAATCAGTGAGCAATATAGGACAAAAGCAGGGAACAGATAAGAAATGTGTGCTATTTTGGGTAAGGTTTTCTGCAGTTAATGGAAGAACCCCTGCATTTGCATCGTTCAGTGCTTATCCACTCTGTTTTGAGAATCTGTTTGCGTACGTCCCCTCTCAGCCAAATCACATCTGTGCTGAGTTTTCATCACAGTTTCTCACAGAAGCTCTTTCCCTGGGTTGAGCCCTCACACTGTTTCTGTGCCTTCCCAGGCAGCTGAGAGGTGAATGGCTTAGGTCTTATAACACACCGCAGTTATAGAACTTGCTCAGAATCCCCTCAACACATGGTGAATTCCTGCCAGAATATAAGGTGAAGAAAAACTGTCTCTGTAAATGAACCTGCCAGTCTCTCTTGTAAAAGAAAAGTGTAACCAGATTCACTTTACTTCCTATTTGTCTTGACAGAAATCATAGGGCTTACTGCCTTACCAACTATTCCAATCTGCTCAATTCAGGTGTCTGTAAAGCACGACTTCCTTCTGCTTTCTTCAGATGGTATCTATCCTGCTTTATTCTGAGATATATTTTCATACATTAGCAGGGTACAATGTTATAATTATGTATAGTCAAGTTCAACTTTTTGACCAGGAAGCACTCCTGAAGACATTCCTCCTTTTGTATAGGGATGGCATGTACTTACTGTATTTATCAGGGTTTATTGTCGAATTATTCCTTCTTTTGCAGCATCCATTTTCCCCTTTTTGATAATTTTTGCATACACATATGCCTTAACATCTCCTTTATTACAACAAATGAAACAATTATTTCACCAACTAATGAACGTCTAATGAACGTGCTCTAGTAAACATCTCATCTTTCTGTATCTTTAAAGAAAAATGCCATCATTTCATAATTTCTCCATTTGCTCCACCAGAGTTTCCGTGCTCACTGATCAATGCAGACTGCTTTTCTTCAGGGTCCCCAACACTGGGATGCCAATCCCAGACTCAGTTTGTCCTCTTCCTTGACCCCTCAGGAGCACAAGACAGCTGACAACCCCCGCTTCTACAAAATACTTTCTTTGCTGACACTACATTTTGTTGTGTTTCTTTCTATCAATGACCATTTCATATAATTAATTAATTAATTTGTTTATTTTGATACTGGAGATTGAACACACAGCCTTGTATACACTAGGCAAGTTCTGTACTCCTGGATATATCTCCAGCCTAAAACCTTTATTTTTTTTTTTTGAGTCTTAGTAATACTGAACTGGACTCTCCTTCTAGGAGTGGTTTCTAAATTCTTTCTGTCTTGAGCAAAGAACTAGTCAAGACAAGCATAAACAGTAGCAAAATTTTACATTTATTAAAGTGGTAAAAGAAACAGGCTATGTGGAGCATATTTGGGCCAAGTAAGAGTAAGAAAAAAAAGTAGATTCTACACTGTGAGAGTGAACGACTGTAAAAGAACACAGTAGCCAAGAGCTCAATATGGACTGTTCTTTTCGTATCACCTACTCTTCAGGTTGACTTCAGCTCTATGCCATCCTGTCAAAATCCTGTAGGGAGTTCTCGTGAGGGGGCCACATGCAGAGGCTTGGGAGCTGTTCTGTGGCTATGTCCTGGTATTTGTAATTAACAAGGTCACTCCAACTTCCCCAGCAGCTTTGCATGCCCTAGTGTCCTGTCTCACTGTGGATTGAATTCAGGGTCTCACTCATGCTCAGCAAGTACTCAATCATTGAGATGCATCCTCAGCCTTTGATTTCTTGCTTAAAGTAAGCTTTATTGAAGTATAATTCATGAATATAAACTTACCTTTTTCTGTTAAGTGTCTCGTTTGATAACCTTAAGAAACAAAAAATGTCCTGAAACCTTTACCAAAAAATCAGGTTAGAATATTTATATCTGTCTGAAAGTTTCCTTTCAACCCTCCCAGCTTTTCCAGCTCCTGAAAACCACAGATCTGATTTTTTCCCTATAATTCTGCCTTTCCAGAATGTCTTATCAGTGGATTATATAATAAAACATAGCTTCATGCATCTGACTTTTTTCACTTAGTGAAATGCTTTTGAGAGTCATCCATCCAAATGCATCAGTAGTTTACTGTTATTTATTCTGAGAAAAACAGTCCGTTGTGTGGATATACCACCACTTGGTAATCCATTTATGAGTGGAAGGACATTTGGGTTGTAACCAGTTTAGGTGATTATGAATAACTTTGTTTAAATTCTTCAATTTTGAGCAGTTACTCAGGCTCTTTAGATATTAGCAAGGTCAGATGTCAAACAATAATAATAATAATTCAGAGGTACCTCAATTCATGAACTTAATTTGTTCCATGATTTTGGTCGATTCTGATGTTCCATGAATTGGTCACAAACCAAATCGAATTTCCCCATGAGGTTCAATGTAAATAAGGTTAATCTATTCTGACTCCTGCAAACGTGGTTGTGAACTGATTTTGGCTGAGAACCTAATCAAATTTTCCTATAAGATTCAATGTAAATGAGGTTAATCTGTTCTGGATCATATATATTTTTCTAAGCACAAAAAGGGAAACAAAGTACAGTACAGTAAAGTGCTGTATGAAGAGATATAACACTAACCTTGCTTGAAGCAACTTCTGTCATGGAAGGCAGGCAGGTAGGTGTGGAGGAGGTTACTGTTTGGAGGGTGAGCTCCTCTCCATAAAACACTGGTGAGATCTCCTTCAGAGTTTTTGTCTCTTCTTTATCTATTAGCTGTAAGGTCAATTTTGATGCAAAATCTGTGTAACATTGCTTTTTTCCTGCACTGCTTAACCTTCCAGAAATGAGAGATCACATTATTGTCCACCAGAGTCAACACTGTTCATTACAATTATGTTGGAGTGGTGCTTCTCAAAGACATCCTGGCACTCATTCCATTTTTCCAGCATGGATTTTACCACGTCGCCGCCTACCTCCTGCCTCTCTTCCTCTTCCTCAGTGGAAAGCTCCGCAATAAGTGCCTTCTGCAGCTCACTCTGGAGTTCTGCAAGTTCTTCACCATCAGCTCCTCAACAAGCTCCTTTGTGTCTGCACCATTGATGTCCAGACCCATACTCTTGCCCATGGACACAATGTCCTCCACTATCTGTGCATCAGACCCTTCAAAGCCATGTTGTTATACATTCTGCCAGCGTTTCCTCCAGGCTGAATTTAAGGTCTGGTGCATGGCATCTTCCCAGGCTTTATCAATGAGATCGTTGCAGTGGAAGATATTGAAATTTTTCTTTCAGAACTCTTTCAGAGTCAAGGAGATCTCTTCAGCACCTGGTGAAGAGTGACTTTGTGTAGAACTTCTTGAAGCTGCACATCATTTGCTGGCCCATGTGCTGCAGAAAAGATGTTATGTTGCAGGGAATGCACTTACCCTCTGTGAAGTCTTACTCAGCATCCACTAAGGCTTGCAGGTGTGCCAGGACATTGTCTATCAGAAGAAAGCAACTGTCAGGCAGTTTGTTGTCATATAATGCAACCAGTCCATGTACAGTTGTCTGCAATGGCCTCCACATGACAGACAGTCTGGGCTGGTTTACGTTCTGTTCCTTGAAGGCATAAGGGGTCTAGGAATGGTCCATCAGTAGTGACTTAATCTTCAGGTCAGCACTTACATTTGCACACAGCAAAAGAGTTAATTTGTCCTTCATAGGCTTGTTCCCTGGCAGTACCTCTTCCTCCTGTGTGATATGCATTCTTTTCTTATTCCAGAAGAACCCGTTTCATGGTAGTTGAACGTTGGTTGAGTGATGTATCCTTCTGTGTTCATCAAGTCTGCGAATTCTTTCTTGTAGGCTTCTGCAGTGGACTTCCCGAAGTGGAAGCCTCATCATGTCTTATCGCACTGTTGATGCCACTCCTCTTGTGGAATTTATCAAACCACCCTCTATTGGCTTTAAGTTCATCACTAGTTGTAATTGCAGAGGGGCTTTCTTCCAGAAAAAACACTGTGCCATTTCTTGGTTTTTTCAGTTTATAGCTTCACTAAAGCTATCACCTGCTAGCTGTTTCTCATCCAACCACACTAACAAAAGTTTGTCCACTTCTTCCAGCACTTGTGTTCTTGGCTAACATTGTTGCTTCTTCTGCCACATCAGCTCCTTTGATGGCATTTTTATTCTTCAAGATAGTTGAGCTTGTGGAGTTTACCATCTTGTACTTCGAGGTTAGAATCAGTCACATGAATACTATGCACATGCTTTTCTACAGTTTCCTGCTTCAATTCCATGGCTCTTTAAAAAAAACCTTCTTACCGCTCTTACTCTGCACTTTCTTGTTACCTTCATTACTGTTCTGCATATTCTTTTACCTTAATTACCACTCTGTACTTTTTACCACCATACTTGCTCTGTACTTTCTTTGGAGCCATGCTGGATTAAATAACACTGTATGCACAGTACTCTATGTGCTAAAAACCACACAAAAAGCTTTGTAATAGTTGTACACAGGTCTGTCTGTGACTGCAATCTCCAGTAGAGGAAGCCACAACTATGTGTCAGAGTGGGAGAGATAGCTGTGTTTGTGTTCCTATGGGGAAAATAACTGTGATCCTTTTTATCACCCAATGTGGAGGTGATAGAGGCAAATTTTTGCAGAAAATTTGGTGTTTACAAACTGAACTGTTCACAAACAGAAGCGTTTGTGAATGAGGTATTGCTGTTCACCTCACAGTGTCATCATAAGTGAGATGAGGTACAGCATGGATAAGTTCAGCATAGAAACTGCTATATACTAAATGTTCAGCAGATAATTGTTAATCATATTTTTATTACTGTAAATACATTCTTTAGTTGTGTTTTTCAATATTTAGTGGCTTGAGAACTGTTATTTCCATATTGTAAGAAAATTGAAAGTTCGTGAGACACTAAATAATCTGGCTTCTGTTATACAACTACTAAATTCAAACTGAACCTTATCCATTTCCAAAGTCAAGGCTTTAGCTATTGCATTTAAATTTAAAATTTTGCTCTTAAAAAATAAATGGCTGTATTTGGGTCATAAAATTAAAGTATAATCAATTTTTGGACTATTATTATCAAAATCAAAGAAATACTTGTGCTTTTTAACTGACACATAACTTTTCCTAATAGTGAATCTTATAAGACATTTCTCATGGTGGACTTTTGGAGATGCTAAAATTTTCAGTGGATACTGTTCTCAAAATCATCTTTATAGAAAGTATAATATGGATTTCACATGAATATTCTTGGAAGTGGAAAGTACACAATATTCATCAGTTAGTTCCTCTGTGAAAAGGAATGCAGTGTTAGTTCAGCTCTAACCCTTACTGGCCACCAAAGAAACCCCATGAATAATGTGTGATCTAATAGTTCAAAAGCATCAGGGAATCTGAGTGCACTTTTCTGTATAGACAGCTCAAGTAGTTTTGCTCCATGGAAGTATTTTATTTCTCAAGTTGTCTTCTACTGTTCCTAACATGAGATTCCCTTTTTACTTTATCTCTCTTCAATTGTATCCCACTTTATAGTAGAATCATTTACCCAGAATTATCTGGAATTATAGGGTTACCTTGAAGGGACAAGATGCTTTTCTTAGGATGATGAAATTATTCTCTTTTGGGCTCTTCAATAAGCTTTACTGAGTTTGTTTTTTCTCCTTTAATTGCTATAGTTCCAGCAGAGCTACATTTGTTTTTACTTTGAGATGTTCCATCTAGCAAGAAATTTTTTTAGTTGGCTCAGTAACTACCTGTATCTCTTCTATGTCACTGTAAAACATGTGTTATTTAATTTTCTGTAATCTAATTCAAATTAATTGATCCAAATTCTGATGTTCTGATGGTCTGATTTTCTTAACAGATAAGATTCAAGATTTCTAAGAGGAGACAGTGAACATAATCTTCAGTTAAATTTTCCTTAATTTCAATTTATATTTGGCTTTGATAGGTGTTGGACTAAACTGATTTAAAACATCTACTGCTTTGATGTTGAGAAAATGCAGTCATATGGCTTCAAAGAAGAAAGTCTACAGCAATAAAATCCAGCATGATACAACATGAAATCAATGGTAGAATAAAAATTCAGAGGTGTATTTAAAGTTATGAGTTACTAAAATATTGTTAGATTATAATTTGTTAATATGTAAAACACTTAAATATCCCTCAATTACTTTTGGACTTTGTTTCTCCACATTAAAATGATACTTCTGGTTCCAAAAATAAAGCGATAAAGATAATCTGGCAATTGTTCATGTTGTTGGCTTAGAGAAGACCAGATTTTTTCCCAACAAGTGTTTTCACAAAGGCTCACTGGCTTCTGATACAGTCTTGCTGTGAAACTGTTTCATGAACCATTTTGTTGAGCCAGATTACAAACAGAATCTATTTCCTGTGAGCATCACGGCTAGGAGAGCCGCAAGCCAATCTTCCAGCTCGCAAGCCAATCTTCCAGCTAAATGCTCCAAATCACCACCTAATTGCTGTAGCCTAATGTAACTGGCTTATGCAATTTCCAGCTACCAAATTAGAAGGAAATAGTGCAGATAACTGTGAATTATACAGTAGATTCCAAGGCATTTATACAGCTAGTCAAATATAGGACATGCTTAGGACTAACTGAAATGTACCTGACTTAATAAAAATCATATACTCTGAACAACATTTTTCTCTGTTTAAATAATGTATATGGTAATTAACAAATTTAAATTACAAAGTAATTATTTTAATTTCTAAAGTACTTGGATATTTCAAAAAATATGCTTTTAGTCAATTTACCTTGCATATCATAATGTATTTCATGAAGGGAAAAGACTCGTGTCATCAGTTACAAAAGAAATATACATGCCGATCTAAATAGATATAACTGGTTGTAGATTACTTGTAGCCAAATGATTGAGTCTTGAAAAGACTATACCATAAAAATAGTATCTTTAGACTAATCATTCAAATTGTCTTTAACTGTTGTATCCAGTCTTGGGAATGAATTCAAAACTGCCTTATTCAATAACAATATGACTATATAGCTTTAAGGAAATTGAACAAATACAGATTTCTGAATTACAATAGGCCACTCATGCAGAATAATTCATTCACCATACTGGATTCCAATTGGGGACTGATTTAATACTGATGTTAATGAAGGGCCAAGAAGAAAGTGAGTCAGAGGGTGAAATTCCTTGGTAGCAATTTCCAGAGGAGGGTTTTTTTGTGTGTTTGATAGAACATTCTTAGAAATTTCAATTGGAACAATTCCTTTTGGGTGGGAGGATTTGATTGAAAAGCATAGGGGAAAAAGATGAAGAGAAATAAGAGTGAGCAAGGGAGAAAACTTATTATCTTTCTTTGTGAAATAAAAATTTGCTCATTTTGTATAAAATGAAATTGACTCAGTATAATGAATGAATTAAATGTAATGAAATGAACCCAACCTTGTGCACTTTCCAAACTGAACAAAATGCTAATAATGGAAATAATAGAGTGAGATGTTTTATAAATTTACTCATTTTTAGTAATCTTGGGTTCGTTTGATATGTACCTTGAAAAATCTTACATCTAATGGACATCTTTGCTATATTCTGGAACTTGAATGATAAGCAAAATAAAAAATACTTTTCTAAGTGCAGTTAAGGATATTATTGACAAAAATATAATAACAATAAAACATCATCTGAAGGGATTGAACTAATCCAATTGTTCTAATTTTATTGTCATCTCTACTCTAGGTAATAGTCTACAAAATTATACATGTGATGTTTTAGTTACTTAGAAAACAACACAGATGTATTTGAAAAGGTTGCCAACTTGTTTAATTGTACACTATTTCCCAATTTTCTAACCATAGAATATTTATAGAAAAAGTCTCCAAACAGAAGGCTAGATGCTTTAAGCTGCCACAATTTTTGCACAGTGCATAAAATGTCAAGCTTTCTTACTAAAAATTATGGCTGCTGAAATATAAGAAAAGTATAGGGATTACTTTTCATAATCTTAGTCCAGTTTAAAAATCAATTTTGGAACATGTTTCTCCCCTGTCATTTCTTTAAAATGTGCCTTTTTGTGCCTATTTGAGGATTTAAGATTGTCAACTTGTTTCAAGTGTATAAAGAATAGACATTTTTTATTAATCTTTTGAAAATGAAAGTACATCTTCCGCTTCTACAAAATTTTGTCAGGGCTAACCCCACTCAGGCATATTTTTATTTCTGCCATATTATAATGTAGAAATTATCACTTTACTTCTGGTGTAAAATCTTCAACAGCTCTACATTGCCTCTCAAACAAAGTTTAGATGTATTAATTTGACAAACTAAGTCCTCCTAAATCTCTTCCTTTGCCTTAATTTGCCACTAATTTTCTACCTACAAATGGTACTCTGACTAGACCTGTTTGTTCCCTTATGAAATAAAAATATCCCTTTGATTTCTTCCCTTGCTCCTCTTGCTGTATAAATTCTTCTGGTCTTCTATGGCAATTCCGTCTGGTTCTTCATGTCTAAAGCAAACATCACCTCTTCCACGGAGCCCTTCCTAACTTCCCAGTAACAATGACTTTCTTGTCTGAATTCTTGCAGCCATATTTATATTTTTCAGTTTCTAGCAATCAATATATTTATCTCTAAACTCATAATATTTATGTGTGGACCTGAATTACCCTGTGGATCTGAAGCACTATCATAGGAGAGAAGGGAATGGCCTTCAGCCAGGATGCCTAGGATAAAACAGTGACTTTGCAAACTTTTAGTGCTACAACCTTGAGTAGTTTTCTTAAATACTCTGAGTTTAGTTCCTCCATTTTCAAAACTGAGATGTCAGTTGTTCTAACATGAAAGAGTTGATATGTCCAAAGCACATTCAATTGTACCTCGCTTGTAGCTTGGGCTATCCAGTGTTTACTATTTTATTATCTTATACCTTTTTCAGCCAAGATTGTTGAGCTTCAAGACTAAAGGGCAATAA